TATAGCCATTGAATTTTTTTGCTATAAATTATATTATAACTAAGGTTTGTAAAAAAAATGTAATGTTTCGCTTCTCTTCGCTCGGGACCTGAAAACAATTAACTCTCACAGTCTAATTAATAATATTTACATATTAGGTCACATAAAGTTTGTCGTCTGGGGAGTTTAACGTTAGTTAAAGTATATGTACGTGCCTAGGTGTCGCTTTTAAAACTTAAAATTAAAAACCGAAGAAGAATGATGCTCAAAGGTTCACTTGCAGATGTACATAAAATATAATATATATGTTTGATAAGTTTTTGATGAAATTTAATTAAAAATGATCGGTTATTCATATCAACTGAGAAAACTCGACACTTTATTTCGGAGTTTTAATTCAATCTCTTATGAAATTCAAATTAAAAGAAACGTATGGTTTCGATTATTACTGTCCGTGCGCAGAACGGTAAATAATCACGATTCACGGTTTACTATTAAATGTATTATTCACAAACAACCCGACGTATTATATGTGCACAACTAATTCAAAACAAATCGTAATTTATTTTCGACGTTACTATTGTCGTGTGCGCAGCGTACACGTGTATTATTACAGGTACTCGAGGCCGCGGGGGAATTATGTACGAATGTCAATATGTTCCCCGGCGAAAGCTGCAGCAGACGATCACTGTCATCCACACACACACACACACACACACACACACACACACACACACACACACACACACCTACAAACGACGAGCATTTCGACATTTCGGTCTTTTTTTGCCGGCGGGCTGGCGGAAAACCGCGACACGCGAGTCGGTATGAAAAGTAACGGCGACCGTATTATCGTGTGAGAGACATCATAGGACTCCGCGAAAAATAATAACGAAAAATAAACACGAGAACGCGAGCGCGAAAAACAATACCGCGGGGGGGGGGGGGGGTGCGATTGTTAAAATAACGAGACGACAATTATTATAATATACGCTCGTCGCTGCTGTCGCGTACAATTATTATAATGTCACATACACCCATAGAGATATTATTATGATGTACGCGGCGGCGGCGTTCTCGTAACGACGGCGTGTTCTCGTAACGAAGGCGGCGTGTTCTCGTAACGATGACGTATACTCGCGCGTTACGTCACGGGTTCCGTCGCGGCGACCTGGTAGCCCGGGGCAACGGCGCGGAGGACACGAGATCAATTTCCCCTGTGCCGCCGCCGCCGCCGCCGACGTTTTACCTGCAGCGCCACCCGCCGCCGCCGCCGACGTTCGCGCAGACAGCTATGGCTAAATATAAACAACAGCCGTCGCCACTGATGATGATGATGATAATAATAATAATAATAATAATAATAATAACGCGCGCTTGCTGGTGACACCTCGGCCGGTGCCGCCGATGTTATCTTCTTATTTTTCCCCATACTTTTGCGCCGGCGGGAGGGCGGGCAGTGTCACAAAATATAGGTATAAGAAACGGCGGCGGCGGCGGTGGCACCTGCAGAAATAAAAGAGCTTATACACGTCCTATCTGCCTACAAAAATTAATTCGTTTTTTTTTTTTTAGGAAAAGTTTAATATTTCCCTCGACGGAAATCCGTTCGGTTTATTTGTCATTACGAATAATATTATAATATTATAAAAGCCGTCCCGCAGATATGCTTTCATACCTATATGTATACATTTCGTGTTCGTCTACAAACCTATAAACTGTAATGTACGACGACATGAGTTTTAATCAATCAAATTTCAGACACGTGTTCTGCGGTATCGCCGCTGAAGTTCTGACAATATTCCAATACAGTGCAAATAATAATTGAAAATCTAGTTAATCTAGTTCAACGGAAACGCCTCTATAATATATAGACTCAAACCCTCAAACGATACTTTATACGCGCATTTCGTGGAATAATATGATATCCACCACCAGCAGTGCACCTCAACCTATTCATTCCTTGTATTTCGAGACATCCTGCACCCCGCCGCCGTCGTCTGAAAATATCAACACTATCACACACTCGCATCCGTCGGACTAGTTTCGGTTTTTTCTCCCATCGCAATATGAAATATTATTGTAATAATTCAAGAGTCAAATCCGTTCGCATCGTCAGTGAAAGGGGGGGGGGAGTGTAGGAGACCGCAGTGTAAACGCGTGCTGTTTACTCGCGATATTTATATTTTGCTATATTAAACCGAACGCGGAATGAAATCTAGATTATCCGTTGCCCGGAATTATACGGCGAACGGCCGAAAGATTAAACCGGGAGACGTGTATAAAAATTGAATAATTATACATGCATCGCGTGGAAAATAATAATATAATCACGAGCATACATATATATATAATAACAACACACAAAGCCATTAGTTTGGCTCTCGAGCCACCGGGGTAAAGGGTGCAGGCAACGTGCGTTTGTCAAACGATAATAATTAATAATAATAAAAAAAAAAACAAGAACCCTGGAAAACACGGGTAGTTTTTTTTCTGTTTTTTTTCGAGCGACAGAGAGAGTGAAAATAATTATACTCTTGGACCCTCCGGCCGAGTATATATACATATTAATATATATCTGGAGTGCGGTTATCGCGTATAATGGTATAATACTGCGTACACGTAAATTCGTATTATTAATTAATAATATATAATATTATCACCGTGGCGTAGTCGATGCAATATGACGTATAGCGAATACGAATATACAGGTGGGCGAGTCACCCGAGAATCCCTTAGAATCCGATTACCTAGTAATAGTAATATTACAATATTATATGACGTGCAGACAAAGCTACCCATCCCACTCGATAAAATCGATCATTGCGCGGTCGCTGAAGTACGAGACTTTGCGTCGTCGTCGTCGCTTTTCTGAAAACTGGTGACCCGGTGACGCGGAGGGCATTTCGAATAGGCCTACAAACTAGATTCGAAGCCGACTTCCCGTGTGCAGCTCGGACAGGGCAATTTCGTTTAAGACATCGCAAATTCCAAAGGTGCATGTTCAAATATTAAAAGTTTTAAATTGTCTACGCTAATAAGTCACCCGCAGTCCGCAGCCAATTTTCGAATAGGATGAAATCCAATAACACTCGAATTCCAGCGCCACTGAATTCCGATCACTGCACGTATTACATTCAAGAGCTATGACTGCATGTCATATAGCACTACACGTCACGTGTTCGGTAATAGATAAACGGAAGTTTCGTCCTCAGGAAATATCCTATTTGATCACCTGGTATTTGAAATCATTAAATAAATCAAAATATACACGTGTCGGTTAATTAAATTAGTATAATTCTTGGTCAAATTAGGCAAGGCAGGCTATTTAATTTTAATTAATTTTCATATCAAAACAGTTACTCCGTAGACAGAAATCAAAATAACAAATAGCTTGGTAAGCACGATCGGCTGCACACATTTTTACTCGTATCCATCTATTATTCCTGTTTAGAATTTTTTTCACGATTTAAACATTTACACATTTAATTTAATTTCTGTTCGTAATATTAAAGACTCCCGAAAATGGCGGGGAGCAAACGTCGTATATGGCTATATATCTACGGCTAATAACTCTGACCCGAGGAGTGAGGACCGCTTCAGTTACTATACCTATGTCTTAATATTTACGCGAGACGAAATGACGTGCGTAAATTAATTTTTTTGACTGAGACTATATTCGGTATATTCGGTCCTCGATTCGGTAAAACGTCACAATGATACGAAAATATAATATATCGGCATAAAAACGTCTCGCGGTCATCCCCGTAGAATATTATTAGGGTTTGCGAAACGACCGTTGATCCCTATTATATAATATAATATGGTAAAGAATATTTTTATCGCTGATTTTATTTTTCTTCGTACCAACTTCCGAGTGACTTGCGGTGGTCGGACGAGCGCACACGTCGCCGGCTGCAAACTGGGTCAACTAGGTTTCGGTCTATCCGCGTCTGCGGGGTCGGCTCTGCTGCGAAATGCCATCGTGTCCGTGACTGCACTCGTATACAATGTTGTCGTTGTTCGCCTTTTCGCACGGCCGCGTAAATCCGGTATCTTTTTAATTTGGATAAGAATTTTGTTTTTCATTTTTTACACGTAATGCACAACTTGATCCGCAAACTGCAAGTATTATAAAGTTATTGTTTTGCTACACACTTAGGAGTAATATTATTTCCAATAATTGCAGTTTTACATAATATTATGTGCACACTGCAGTGGCCGTGGGCACGCATAGTGCTGTAATTATGGCAGCGGTCTACTCTAAAACGCATATTGTAAAAATAAGTTAAATTTTTGTTTTTTTTTCAAAAATATAATAATATTAAACCGACGTAACACAACCGTGAACGGTGGTGCATGCGTGTAATAGTGCTCCACATGCTTACATGCACAATAACAATAATGATATTATATAATAAATTGTATTCAATATCGTTACATGTCTTCAGATAATAAAATCAACGCTATAACATAATACCAATCGTCCAATCCCACGTACGAGTGCACAACACAGAACCTATATTGCACCATATTGTACGCGAGATTGTCCCTTCGAGATTACATGACGTAGTTGTCCCGACTATAGACAATAATTATTATATAGGTATTGTAATGGTCATTGTGCCGCTTAAACATAATAATAGCGTAAATATATATATATATTACAAGCACACGACCAGACCTAAACCGTGTACGCGGTTTTCGGTAAATCGCCGTGATTCACGAACCTGCACTTGAATAAAATAATATATTATAATGCGTCAGAATATAGGACGGGCGGCACCATCCCGTCATATTATTATAATATTTAGTTGGGTATGGTAGGTATACCTCCACCTGCCAATAGTGGTTACTGATTAATCAAACTTTGTACTCATAAAATCGACACATTTTTCATACGTATTGCACCTGATGGAAATGCGATCAACTCCCTGCTATTATTATCTGTGCCCATATGTGTATGCAAAACGTGTACTATAAGCAATTGAAAATAATTTTGGTGTTTGCTTTTGTTTCAGGGTTACTGCAGAGAATGGCTAGTTTCAAGGAGTGGCCGTCGTTCTTGATGGTATTTTTGTTTGCGCACTTTGCTCAATATTGTTGGTAAGTAACTTTTGTCTATAAGCAAATATTAATCATGACATTGATCAATAGTTCCACGAATTCTACTTGATTTGAGTTTAAAATTAATATTATATCAAAGGCGAAAATTCGATATTTATTGAATCTATCAATTATCATCACAAAAATAAATTTTATTATATTTAGATTTATTTATCTATATATAATATGATAACTAAACTTAAATTTAAAATTATGAAGTAAAACGAATGTTAATTGTAAATTGTAATCAACTATAGTCTATAATATAATGTAATAATCAATACCTAACGATAACGTGTTTAAATAACAGTTTTACGGATAAATAATCTTGGATTAAATTTATCCAGTAAAATGTATAATATTTATTATTTTGTAAAAAAAAATCGTATTTTTATTACAGCACTCGAATTGACGATGATGGGTGTAATTATAATGGAAATTCTCAACACAGATGCGTACCAAAAGTTAACTATAGGCACAAAGAAAAAGAGGTTCTTGATCAAATTTTAGGTCCAGGAAGCTACGATGCTAGGATCCGTCCATCAGGAGTTAATGGCACAGGTAAAATACCATAAAAAATTATATCGTTTTGTATAAAAATGAAAAATTGTTACATGCTCACGACCAAAACAATTCATTATGTTCATTTACTTTTTATTTTTTTATGTATGTTTTATGAAATCAACATTATTAAAACTACGTGGAAATGATTTTATATCAAACAATAATCTCTTGATATCAACAATATTTGTAAAACATTAAAGGGAGGAAGAGATTGATTTAATCTTGTGGGTTTACCATAAAAGCGACACCTTATTTTTTCTTCATTATTACTTTTTTTTTAATTTTCCCTTCAAAGTTTTATTTTTTGTTTAAATACTCGAAGTGCTTTAGGCTTTTCGCCAAACTGAAAAATTCTATGAGTACTTGTGCATAGTGCCAAATCCCCTTTTGTGTTATATTACGATGCCTGCATATATGGGAGCAGGATTTAACTTTTAATTTTCAAGTGGCCACTCATTTTTGCATTGTCTGTGTGGGCCTTCAGCTAGTTGTAACAACCAGCAAAAATGTTAATTTTAATAATATTTCGTTTATTTAATTGTATCGAAATAATAATATTTGGTAACAAACATATAAAATCAGTACTCTTAATAATAATTCCTAGATGGCCCGGTTATTGTTAAAATAGATTTAATGCTACGAAACGTCGAGAAAATTAGTGACAAAGAAATGGTAAGTCAAATCGGTTAAGCACATTGGTTCACTCAATTTTCAATTGTTTCTATCAACGAAATATGTCACAATTATTTTTTAACCATTTATTACGGTTTATCAACATTTTATGCACTATTATCCGCACTACGTACAACTCTTTTATATTTATTGCCTATTGCAGGGTTTCATCATGTTCTTACATTTAGCACTTGATATTTTATTTCTTTTATCGTTTAATCAGCAATCTTTTAATAAGTTCGTTTTTTTATTTACAAGCTATATGATTGACAATTGCGGTTATACCTACAGTCATTACACATTTTTTTAAATTTAATATACACTTGAGCAAAAATCCATTTAATCAATTTTGTAAATTTTATATCGCTAGTATAAAAATAACAGTTTTTTTCATTTACATTTAATTTATACTGGGAATATTTAATAAACAGTATTACAGTTAATCCATTCAATATTTCAATGCCATCATATTTAAAAATAGCCAATACTACTTTATCGCGTTCTGGAAATGTACAGAATTATTTTTCCAATTAATATTAATGTTTATTTTTTTAATACTAATTATAATAACAAATGCGTTTTCGTTTGGACAATTTTAACACAAAAAGGGTTAAACTTTTTCAAAGAAGATAATATGTTTTTTTAGTATATATTATATATTGTTATATATTATTATTATTATTTCGTACACAAAAATGTTTTAAATATATATATGTGTTTAAATTTGGATTTTTGCTCAAAACTTTTCAACACTCTCTTCGCTACGCTCGATGAATATTAATAATGGTGTATTCTTCTTAAATAATTCAATAATCATTGAGGTGTGCTTAATGTGTGCAGTGTTTTACAAGATTAATAATAACACAATTATGTGACATTGCGTCTTAGGGAAGAATGCGACCAATATATTATAATAATATCTTATAAACCGTCATATTTGCAGAAATTATCAAATTTATTGTATTTTGAACGATAACAATTAACAAATAATATATATATAAATATATTTAAAATATTTTATAACTCCCTAGATGGCCCAACAATCGTGCACATAAACCTATTTGTGAGAAGTATCATGACAATAAGTGACAACAAGATGGTAAGTCATCTTGTCTAGGTTGGATGCTGGTATTTTGAGCGAAAACAAACGCAATTTTTTGTTGTTTTATATATTTATACTTAGAGAAAAATATATTCTACATTTTATTGTTAACGTAAACGTTATCGATAATATATTTGTAGATGGTCCCGTCCGCTATATATTATATACTATAACAATATTATATTTCCTGAATCTTTCACCCGCTCTTGATGAACGTTTTATTTTGCATTCATAGCAGTTTTTTTTATTTTTGTACATTACATGGAATGATTGTGTATAAAATAAATAATAAAACCTGTTATATATAAAATATTTTAAGAACGAAAAAATGACAACCTATCCTGTAAAACGCACATAAACACGCGGTTTTCATACCAATAAATTGACAAAGAGCTTTTTCCGGGGTGCGTAACATAATATGACTACTAACTATACCTACACTTAGAAAAAAATTAATGATAATATAACAACATAGAATTATTGCTGGACTAAATTGTACGCTTGTTGACTTAATTGACAGAATTCACTTAATATTATTAAAATTATTATATAATTACTGCCTTATATTGTATATTATTATATATATATCTATAATGTTATAATGATAATCTTGCAGAGTACCCAAAGGGTCGATTTTAGATAGGCGCTATAGAATATTCGTAGGTATTAGTAACGCTAATGTAAGCAATATAAATAATAGTATACCTAATTAATGTATACTATATAATTATACGTTGATTTAGGTTTGACAGTATACGTCATAATATAAAATTATAATATTATTATACTATTTTACTCTTATTCGATGCATATATATATATTATATATTTAGAGCTATATTATAGCGATGTAACGTGTATTAGATCGAAAAACATAATACGATAACAATACGTACAATAACACATATGCCATGGACCATGGTCGTTGCATTTACTAGGTATTTGTATAATATTGTAATAGATTCGACGATTCAACATTATGGTCTAGTCTAAAGTTCTAAACACCTGCGATCGCCGTAAGACTCCAAGACTGGTTTAAAACTTTTTTTTTATTCTGGTTTAAATTAATTGTCTTAGGTAATCATGTTCCAGTGAGACTTGTCGTCGAAATATCCTAAGTATACATTTTTTTAAATTAAACAACCTTCAGTTGTATCGAGAAACTTTATACATTAATTTGATCACACGTAGACAGTTGTATGTATAACATGCACTAAACTAACATAAAAACAATACTTACACATATTCTTGTGGCTTTTTGAAATTATACTCATAGTACTAACCATCAATTTCAAACCATCTTTCGTCACTTTATAAATCAATTAGAAATTTATCAAATACTAGTAAGTTGTATATGTATTACAAATAAATAAACCTGCTAAACCTTAAAAAATATATAGTCTTATACTTTCATAATCCAATAACACGATTATTACCATCCTATCAAAATAAATATGATTGATTTATATTATGCGTGATTTTAAAACTTTTATAGAATAAATCAGTGCTAATTTTTCTGTAAAACATTTTTTTAAATTTAAAATGGTTCATTAAACTTTCAACTCACTTATTTCCTTTCAAGCTATTATATAAGCGTCTTCTTCAGTTGTCGAGTAATTTAATAAAACATCCTCTTTAAAATGATGAATTATGTCGAAAAAATACTTTATTACATTTTTTTTTATACTCCACCAGTGTTCAATGATGCCCTCCTTCAATCCAGTGACACTTTTGTTCAGTTATTAATTTTAGGGGACACCTTCCACTTCATTTGTTACGATGTATAAACATTTATTTTTGATTTACGAGTATAGATTTAAACAATGATTGTATTCGATTGAAAAAATCCTATTGCTTTTAAACATATTTTAGTTTGCTGCGTGAATAAAATATGAAGTTCACCTTATTGTAATTATTTATCCGAATATCCGAGTATTTTAACTTATCGCGTGTCCCAAAAGTTTAATGAAATAAGTCACGTGCATTTTCATATTTTTTTTTTTTGCTTTACATTTTAGATAGTTACACAAATTTCGTTTAAACCCAACAATTTTATACAAATTTGAAAAAAATAAATAGTTGATTATGAAATTTAAATATTACCAAATCACTAAGTAACTGAAATTAAAATCTGGTAATTGGTAAACAATACTTAAAATATTCGTGTTTCACTGATTTCACAATATTTTCTTAACATAAATACATAAATACAATTATGTTCGTACGAATTGGTTTTGCTTCCATTTCCGCTTTGCAATTAATTATAATGTTAAATCATAACAAAACAAATTTAACTTTCTATTTACCAATGTAGATGACATCTTGTGACCTTTTAAATTCAATAACTACACTGAAGAATTTTACTATTTATTTTTAAAACTTATTCGGTTCTCAATTAAAAACAATTTGTCACGCTGTCCTCGTGAACTTTAAAAAAAAAACTTTCCAAGTTTCCTCCATTTCCACTAAAGACCACCTTTAATCATTTTGATACTGAATTACAGAAATATCCCGGGAAAACTCATAGCAGTGCACACTAACGACAGTACAATAGTTTTTATTTCTCTGTATAAACAAAACCGAAAATGTTATAAATAGTACCATCGTTTTAGTAGTAGATATACCGTATACATAATAACTTATACTAATAATGAGGAAATAATTACAGACCACACACCTTAATCAAATGTGTTTCGTTTTAAGTAATTAACAATTATGATTATACACACACATAAGAATTATCTATAATGCATTGTATAATTACCACCTCCAAATAGCCCGAATACCAATTTTAACATCAGGGTCACTTACTTTAATTTATACGCAAACAATTTCCCATGAGTAATGTATGCATCTGACGTCCATCGCACACCCTGTACAATTCAAATCCGTAAAGGATAATGTTATAATATTATAGTGAATGGCCTAATGAATAGCGCTAGAATTTTTTCTTAAAAAAGTTATACATAGTACTTCCCGCGATGTTATTTAGGTTACTCTTGATTTTATTTTTTTGATTTTGATTTTTTATTTATTTGAATATTATTTTCTCTTGAAATAATGTAACATGTAGTATGCTGATTTGTTTTTTCTAACCGCTGACTATATTTTGTCGGTCTTTATTGTATCCCGCAGGCGACTCTCCCTGCATTGTGTATGTCAACATGTTGGTACGGTCCATCAGCAGAATTGATGATTACAAAATGGTGAGTCGGGTGATGGCCTTAAATAATTTTTATTGGATTTATTTTGTTTTTATGAAATATTATTATTTGGTTTTCTGTTGTGAGATTGCGCCCAATTTATTTGCGGATTTTATGTTTTTGTTTTCGTGGCCGTAGGCATATGTCTTGACCAACAGGATCACGTAATCATAATCCAACTAAGTCCTGAGATCTGCTCGTCTGACGCACAATAATCAATTGAGATCCGACTAATTATTCCACTATTTATATATATTCCACTATTTATTATACACATACAGTACCTGACACATAATTCAAAATGATAGTTTTCTCTACACGTTTATTATTTTCTGTTGGACAAGATGTGTTTTTTAAACCAAATTCTACAAGTATTTTTTTTTTCATTTTAAATATTGATTATTCTGAACTCATAACTTGTTTTATTTTATTTTAATTTATTTTTTGTTAAATAATGCATTGAAATGGTGTGTGTATTTAGGAATTTTGTGTCTTGTATATAAATACATACAATCATACATCAACATATACTAATATATATATATTTATATAAATATATATATTATATATTGAATTAACTCAATAGTGTATATTGTATTGACATATACATATATGTATGTATATATATAAATACTTATATATTATATAATACATAATATAATATCATGCTAAGTTATTTTACTTTTATACTTTTATAAAAACTTATAAAGTTCAAAACTATTGTTGTAGAAATAAAGAATTAAGCAATTTGTGTGCACTTTTTTAATTTAATTTATTAGGGCACTTTTAAAGCAGTATTTGTTTCAAAAAGTTTTATGTTTCAAAAATATATTAAATAAACATTATATAACTTTTCTGGGAAAAACAAAAGATAGTACAGTTATTACTATGGCATATAACATTGCGAAGGGAAATAATAATAACAAAACACTGAATTAAGTTATCTATTTAATAGGGCTTGCAATATTTAAATTTCCGTATCCAACTCGTTCTAAAAGTTTATTGGAATTATTAGTACCTAAGTGACCAGTCAGTTTCCCTGTACAACAGTATTGTAATATTTTGTTCAGCCCACTGACACACCATTGATACCGTATTAACATTACATACTTCCAAAATGTGTAGGTATACCAAACACCAAATAACGGTCGAACGAACTCCCGCAATGAGCAAATAACTAAAATAACGGGGGATTTTACACGTGTGCGGAAAACATTCGGTGCTTTTAGGAAATTGCTGGGTTTTGTGGTGAATAATAATAAAAAAAAAAAAACAAATCAAAACGAAAAAAATTCCTATAACCTTTGACGTACTATGTCGGATGTTAATAATTCATGAGAAAAAAAAAGATTAAAAATGCTTTTGTTGGTTTTCTTTTTTTTTTTTTTGAAATGCGTTTATTTTGATGATTATTATTATTATTATTGTTATTATTATACATTATGACTGTCACCTGCCTCACTGTTTTTTAATCTGTAACTTTCTGTGCCTCAGATGTGTATCTATGACGATTTTGTTCGATAACTCGTTTTATTTTGCATGCTTTATTTTTGAAAAAAAAATATTATATACAATCCGCTACATGCTTGCACGTACGTATGAATAATATCGTTGTTATTACGCTTCCGTATATGTATCGTAGTATCCCACCTCACACGCGTCACACAGACAAAAAAACAACCGCTCGTTTCCACCTGCATTTTGCCGTTGCAACGATACGGACGACGGTCGTACACACACGGCCGGAGGCCAATATTTATTGCATTTTTTGGTCTCTGTGTACACGCACACACACACACACACACAGACACACACACACACACGCATGCCACTTTATTGTTGTATTTGTGCGTTATTTGTTTTATTTGAAAAATATATGATGTTATATATGATAATATGTGATTTGATTTTTTTTTTTTTTTGTCCCCGAAACGCTCAGATTCCGGGCGAATCGCCGGACACGGACGATCTCGCGATTCGCCCGGTAATCGAGGGGTCGAGTGACCTAACAGGAGTCCTGTATACGACACATTGTTATTATAATGATATGCAACACAATAATACAAATAATATTATTATAATAATATGATATGCGCTGTATATGGGACACCGATCGCTCGCGCGCGTTTCCTTTCGCGGCCGGGGGAGTGTGATATAGGTGTAGGAGGTAGAGCGCGTAGATCCGTAAAATATATTGTTCATCGTTCCGACTAATGTGCATATTATTATTATTATTATTATTATACAGGGTGTCTCGCCGTACGTACCCGTAACGTACTTCTCGTCCTCTTTGATACGTAGGAAAACACAATATAATATCGTAGGCATATACATATTTGCGTTTCTCGATGAGAATCTATAGAATAAAAGCCAATTCGTCGAGCATGTAAACCATATTTGATTATTTGGACATCTAAAAGAGTTCTACTTTTATCAATTGTCGTGTCAAGTGTTCAAACAGTTATATTATATAGGTCTTCGGGTTCGGCAGGAGGCTAAAAGAAGAATACTACTGTAGTCGGATGGATACGTATACGAGGACGGACACAGCGAGACACTCTGTACACATATTATTATATATGATATGCGTGTGAGTAGTGGTTAAACAACGATATCAATAACGCAGTGTTGGAGAGAACGGCAATGAAATCGCGGTCTTGGAGGACTTAAGTGTCCTCTGTGTATATTTACATGCATTTAAGCCTTTCAATATATAATAGTTTAAAAGAGTAACTAAAGTAAGGCGCGATAACTCGAAAACCTTCATAACTCAGAGTTTTACTTGGCCCTCGGAAGTACTTATAAGTATATAATATATATTTCAGGAATAAAACGCAAAAACACAAAAGTTTTTAATTATGTTGTATCCAACTTGGAGGTTGGTCTTGGGGTTCGAGTTAACGAGACTCGACTACAGTTCTTGAACTTGTCATAAACAATTTTTGGTTTTTTTTTTCTCGTAAGCGACTCTTCCAACACTGTAGCCGTCGTGGTATTTGTAAATCAATATATTTTACGAACAGAAACTGATATAATAATATAGTAGTAGTCTACGAGAACAAAATGTACATTTTTTTTTTTAAAATACCTTTTCGACTTGACGTTCTGCGCAGTCCGTATTCCCAAAATACTTGTCGTACAAGGTTAACACTCGCGGACCCCGATGACACGCCAATAATTTTTCATTACGATAATATGTCGTTATTAAATTTCAAAAAATAATTTTTTGCCCGTCTCACCGCGTTTTTAGAAGCGAATTACAACTACATCACGCAACTTGTTCCAAAGTGGCCATACCCCAAGTAATTCGAACACTTGACGCCGACCCTGTGCGGCAAGTGTGTGTCTAATTCGTGTTCCGACGTGTCGGCGTGCGACACACATCGTGCACAAAGGCGTATTATATATTGTTTTCGGACTACTAGCACAAGGGTCTCCCAGCAGCTGAAATGCCTCGTTCCCCCGGCCACGAATGTATTTCGTCGTTATTATTAAATATTATATAATAACGTGTATATAATAATACAATATATATATATATGTGTGTGTGTTATATTCGTGAGCTGTACATGTGATATATTTCTAAACGTGTGTTTTGTGTGTTAGGAGTACAGTGTGCAACTGACGTTCCGTGAACAATGGATGGACGAGAGGCTAAAATTTAACGATTACAACGGTAAATACATGGAAATCACTTTGCTTACTAAAAGCGTACTCGAGGAGCCACCCACCCGACGTAACTTGGGCGCTCGCGTCCGTATTCAAGTTTACCAGTGAAGTACCTACACCCACCCACCACCCCTCACCGCGCTCAACCGGACCCTATGTGATATAATATATTATACACCCATATACTACCTATGTACATACTAATATGTATTTTTCACGCGTTCCCGTTTCGAACACAATGACCCAATTTTTTTTTACATTCTCACGTCTGCACCCCGAAGGATATAGTGTTCGTGGGTGTGTTGTATATAACTGGGTAGCGTATAGTTCGGGAAAACTCAATTATCGACAACAGTTTTCAAAGAAGAACCAAAATCTTCGAAAATGTGTTCTGCTGCAGGATAGTGAGAACGTCACAATAATTATAGGTACCTCTATTTACCTTTTGTTGACATCCGCGAAATCCTTACGACGAAATCGAGAGTCACAGTCAACGCTGACGTGTTAAATTATTTAATTTTCACTCATCAACTGGTATAAAGCGCACAAACAAACTAATGTTTCCTGTTGTTTGGATAGGTAAAATGAAATACTTAACTTTGACTGAAGCCAACAGAGTGTGGATGCCCGACTTGTTCTTTTCTAACGAGAAGGAAGGTCATTTCCACAATATAATTATGCCGAACGTGTACATCAGGATATTCCCCAATGGATTAGTCTTGTACAGTATAAGGTTAGCATAAATATTAATCGGTTGAATAATAAGTAGACAATTATTGCAACTTGATGTTGTCATTAATCATTATTATTATGATTTAGAATATCTCTTACTCTATCGTGTCCAATGAATCTCAAATTATATCCACTGGATCGTCAAACGTGTTCACTCCGAATGGTCAGCTGTAAGTCAATATAATAATTATAGTTTAATGTCATATAGTTATTAAATGATTTCAACAACGAACTCACACGTTTTTAAATGTTTTCCTAGACGGCTGGACGACTGACGATTTAGTATTTTTATGGAAAGAAGGTGATCCAGTGCAAGTGGTAAAAAATTTGCACTTGCCTAGATTCACTTTAGAAAAATTTCTCACGGATTACTGTAACAGCAAAACTAACACAGGTTAGTCACACTTTTTATTTTACGTCGAAAACAATATAGGTAATTAAATGCATATTATATTTTAATATCAGCGTAATTTTATAAGACTTCAAATTATTTACACATACCCACCGTGTTCTCGAAACTAACAAAATATGTATATTATATTGTACTTTTATACACATTACGCAATAGTTAAATGTAATGTAAGAATAGCATCGTAACCCCGAAAAAACAGGGTTTTTATTTTATTTATGAACCTATATTATGCCATACATGCATTTTTGCACGTCCAAATTTACATATTTTAATATTTTATCTCACGTACATCACGTAACATGCGATTTAAAAGTTGATTGCTTTTTGTGGCAAAAAAATAATATTTTAAGTATTTTTAAAATTGGATAGCTATAAGGGTACCTACTGTGTATTATACAGTTTTAACATTCAAAAATAAATGTTATGTTTATGATGACTGAATCACTCAAGCTACGAACAGTAAAAAATACATTATTTTAATGAACACCCCTTAAATCTTATAATCCAATAGATAATATTCTAGTAAATTAAACAATATTATTACAATTATCATGAATAAAATAGTACTTACACGGGACCATCGTAAGTGATGACTCTTACGATATCATCTATTTATATTCTCGTCTTATTCATAATTCAGATAATCGGATTTGATTAAAACTTGAACAGCACAATACAATAATTAATTACGGTAATTTAATGAAATATGTATACTCGGATTTCCTATAAACTCGAACTCCGAAACGAGAATTAATTCCCTGCAGCACTACCCTTTAAGCCTGGCTGCAGATAAGTTTCATCAACCCTACTGTACCTACAAAAACTTGAGATTCGATGTAAAAAATGATAATCCAATGACGATACGAATTCTAACTTTAGTCAATGCCAATACATTACAGATACGTCGTAATATGATTCTGGTGGAAAAAAGATAAAAAATATTTATGACTACGGATATAAATATTCTGTCTAAAAATTTTGGTACTCACCCCAATCAAAACATTTTATCATGATCTTGGGTTTGGAGCTCGCTATAATATATTATACAGGGAGATTCGCCAGACATGCTCATTCTGTTTTTCCTCCAACACCGTAGTTATTCAAAATCTGATTCAAAATAAATTATTTATGTAGATTAAATCTAAAATATTGAATAAGACTAAAAAAAATAGTTTCAAATTCTCGAGATTTTTCGTACTTCTAAAGGAGTGTCCCTTGGAGATATAAACTTCTGTTTTTCAAAATGAGAACTCACTTTTCTACTGTAAATTATTTAGCTAGTAATTTTTCCGAAAATATGAAAATGAATTTTGGATTAGATAGGTCAGCGTTTAACAACTTGGACAAAGTTTGTATCTCGCCACTCCTTATAAGACGTAGTATAATATAGAATCTCAAGAATTTTAAAGTATCGTTTTTAAAAATTCTAAAAGTTCAGAATTATGAAAAAAAACCATTACCAAAGGAAAAAATGGGGATGTACATGGGATGCGCTTGGTGGAATATTACCCTGTACCCTGTAATATTTAATATGCGGATCCGCTAAATCTTTTAAGATACTCTGCATAAACAGGTACATGTAAAGTTGGGTGTGCTTAGCTCCCTTTCCAGTTTTGAAATCAGCACCCTCGGTGTCGGTAATTTATGCCATTTATTGTATACGTGGTTAATTAATTCTTATTTTATACAAACACATCACAGGTATAATGTAATAATATGTATACACTGTAGTGTATATACGGAACAAAAGCATTATTAAATATGATTATTGCGAATGATATGGGTATGGGGGGGGGGGGGTGTCAGTTTCTCCGACCCGCTCGTTGCGCGTAATCCACGAGCACATAGGACTATAATATATAGACTTGAAAACTTATGATGGCATTTATAGCAGTTCAGCATCACCCCCGAAGTTGAAATCGAGCCCCAGCGCACGGGGTGCTTAGATAAAAACACACGAAAACGTATGGCGCGGGTATCCTCGCACCCACCCTCACACGTCGTGCTCGGGTTAGGCGGGCATGCACGTCGTCATTGACAAAGTCCGCCGAACAAAGTCCGTTCGAGAACAAATCGCGTTGTGCGCGCGACTGCGTGTGGCGGGTACACGCGATCGTGCAGCGGCGCCTGTATGTTGTTGTTATTGTCATTGTTGTGTGATGCGTGGCAGGAGAATACAGCTGCTTGAAAGTGGACCTGCTGTTCAAGCGGGAGTTCAGTTACTACCTGATCCAGATCTACATACCGTGCTGCATGTTGGTGATCGTGTCGTGGGTGTCGTTCTGGCTGGACCAGAGCGCTGTGCCCGCGCGCGTGTCGCTGGGCGTCACCACGCTGCTGACGATGGCCACGCAGACGTCCGGCATCAACGCGTCCCTGCCGCCCGTGTCCTACACCAAGGCCATCGACGTGTGGACGGGCGTGTGCCTGACGTTCGTGTTCGGCGCCCTGCTCGAGTTCGCGCTGGTCAACTACGCGTCCCGGTCGGACACGCACAGGGACGACATGAGCAAAAAGTGCGACCTGGAGCGCACCGTGTCCATGGACGTCGGCGACTACGAGGACGGCCCGAACTCGTTCAATATGGTGAGGTCGAATAGTACGGTGAGCATTGACCGAGCGCGGAGAACCCGGTTCGTTCGAAGCGCTTCATTTACTTTCCAGCTTTTTCATTCTTATCGTTTTTCGTTTTTTTTTTTTTTTTATACTTTTTGTACCTACTTACTTTATTTTTTTAATTTTCGTTTCGTTTTACTTCCACACACATACCATAATATTATTATTTTTATATACAACGTAATAGCGACATATAATTACATTATTATTATTATTATTATTATTATTATTATTATTACTATTATTATATTTAATTGACGAATTATTATTACTAATTTTGTTTCGACTCGTCGTTATTGTTTTATCGTACCACGGACCAGTTACTTTCGTTGGTTTTAGATTCAAACACCCACACACGCACACACACACCCACACGCACGCAAACTCTTGAAGATTAACAAACGCATTCCGCAATTATTCAGTCTTAAATAATCTCCCCGTATTTGCTAACACTCTTCCTCCACCTCACCACCACAACTACCACAAGTCACTACAACCCCCGAATGTTTGGATACCACTTAAATTCCGCAGTCGTTCGACACACACGCCATGTCTTTTTCGTGAGTACTGCAAGTAAATAATTATTCATCTCTTTCCCTGTTCAAGGTACATAATATAATATGCAAACTACAAAGTGATTATTTTAGCGGTAAACGCGCATAATATTATTTCAAAAAATATAAACTTTCCTCGACATTTGGTTACGTAAAATTCAACACTCGCAGTTATTAATATTTTATATTATTCTCATTTTTTATCCATATCCCCTTATATGACCATTATTGGTGAAATCTGTATCGACTTTACATTTTAATCGACAGTCTATTAAAGATTTCGTCGACTGAAACGAAATACAAAAATGTAATGAATAGGTTTACTTACAAGTGTGTCGAACGTTAAACGAACATTTTTCACCTTTTTCGTTGATATAGCCATTTAACACTCTCAAAGAAGGGCACAATATAAAATGCTATAATTGCGTGAAAGATAATGTATATTTTTTAAATAATGAATGTCCAATTTTGAAAAAATCATCTCAATATTGTGTGCATATTGATTATAAATCAAAAATAATTTCTACCAGCCAAGTAAATCAACACGCGATTTTCGTAATACTGAAAAACATATAGCAACAAAGCAAAATAAAAATATTTCGTTTCGTTCTATTCTACTATGTTCTAATATATTGTAATATTAAATATTTGCCAATACATTAATTGTGTATTTACTCTTCAAAGTGGATAAAATTCGCCCTATGGTTGATTGAAACATTATGGTATTGATTTTCTGATATTTTTATTACCAAACACTATATGTACAACGGAACACATCATACTAATTGTTCAAATAAAATATTTCAACAATAGCATTTCATTAAACGTTTTTTTTCTTCTTATACTGATTGGGTCAACCTATTGATGAACATAGAAACAATCAGTTGGATTAAAAAAAAAAACACCCTCAAAACACAATAATACAATAATACTTAACACGATAATAATATAATAAGCTGTCGGTTGTTAAATAGTTCGAGTTTAGAAACATATTGTAGTGCACTTATTGAGTTCTATTTTATTATTTATTTGCTCCCGAATCCAAATCCACCTCACGAAATTTTTAACTCTTAACATTTTCGAACTGTTTATTTATGCATTTACCGATGCTACAGTATTTCGTTGTACCTGTAATCATTTAATTTTATTCAAGTATAATTTGATTTTAGTTCTTTGACTATATTATTAATTTGTTTACTAACGCATTTTTCATTATTTATTTTCAAATGAAAAGCTGGGAATCAATGTTTGCATTATCCGCATGGTCTGCATCCTTTAGGTGAACAGTTTCTCGGGCGACATAACACCGCCTCCTCTCGATATGTCTTAAATTACGTGGAAATTTTTAATTTAAAAAAAAAAACCAATTTCTCGATACGCGTATACACTGGCACATAATTTTGTAATAAAAAATAATGTACGAACCGACTGCAATATTTGGCCAACCACATTTTCCAGTACGACGAGAATCTGGACAGAGAGCGCGAATGTCGCACGGGAACTGTCCGTACACGGTTAATGCGAAAGCTTGGCACTAGCCCGAATGTTTTTTTTTTAAATTTTTTTTTTTTTAAATCAACCGTATCAATGACGAATACGTACTTTTATGTGCATTCGTATTATATATATTATTTGATTTAATGTATACGGTATTTCGAAATTATAATATTATTATGTATAGGTACATATTATAATATTACATATTACAGTTGCGCGCCCAGAGGGAAAGCCTTGGCTTCAATGCTCGAACCATCCCCGAAATTATATTATCTAACTTCAGGTCGAGACGATTTCCGACAATTTTTTCAAACAAAAAAAACCAGTGAATTATTTTAAAATTCACTAATAAGGTTAGGTTGTAGGTATTTATTTTACACACTGCAATGATGTTGCTGTATTCTTTAAATTTAATTTGAATCGAACATTTTGGTATTTGTTATTTAACGTCTACGCGGTGTGTAGGGTTTAACAAATAAAATATGAAATGGTTTTCTCGACAAAAAAAATTCCTGGGTGCGCTACTGGTACATGGACATAACCCTTGTTTCCGCTAAAATCATACCTTTTCCTTTTCCAGCGTCACTCGTTTCCGCTAAACGAGATTACGGCCAATTCCCTTTAGTATACTCATTGCACAATTCAATAAAAAATAATGTGATACCATAAAAAACGTTTATACATAGATAAAATATTATATAATATAATTTTCATGCAGATCTTTCTTCAAACAATTGGATTTGGGTGCACATATGCAATTTTGTGCATATTTCTGGTATTTGAATAGCTTTGTCACAAAATCGGTTTTGTGTGTCATATAAGAGTATAACTATATGGTAGTAGTTGAAACTATATATAATTGAAGTCACATAGAATTAATTCATTTGTTTTGACGCATAGCCAATCGATACCCGACTGATATGGATGAGCAATTTGTGATATTTTGCAGTATTATTTTTATGATTTCTATATTTATATTTATATAATATTATATTATTTCATAGACTTGAATAATATCATTACACTTCTATATGACTCAAATTCAAATGTTTAACAGCATAATTTAAATTCACCGTTCTTTTTTTTTTTTTTGTCATCATTTCCCCATCCAATCGTTTGAAGTTTGAGAAAGCTCTTTAATATATATTGTAGTGCTTTGGAAGTATATGAAAATGATATTTTTACCGCTTTCGGTTGACAACTATATAACCTATATACACCGCTGGAAAATGGAAATGTATACACGATTCTAGCGGAAAATTGTAACAACCAGTAACGTATACAGGGGGATTCGTCAATACCGGTTACAATAATATTCATATTCGAATCTATTTCAGAAATCATTCGGGAGGTTTAAAAAATCTCGAAAATCGATTTTTCCGCGAGAAAACGATTCGCATATCATGCGCTGTCATGGCGCTTACATTATAATATTGCGATCTATCGGAACACGTCGCCTGTGCTGTATACGTCACTCGGTTTTTGGAATTGTTTTTTTTTTTTTTAAACTTTTTCGCTCTCCGCGAGGAGAAGGATTTGTAAGAAGAAAAAAAAAGATTCCAAACCGTACCCCCCCCCCCCACCCTTTCCTCCTCCGACGGCCTGTGCCCTCTTGACGCGCACGCCTAGGCCAGCCGCCGTCGCCGTAAACGACGTCCTAACGACCGTCGCGGTGCGCGCGCGCCGTGTGTTTCCGCAGAAGCCGCTGATGCGTCCCGAGCTGATGATGTCCCGGGACAAGATGAGCCAGATCATCCACCAGGCGCCGCCCATGGAGAAGAACTCGTGCTGGAAGTCGTGGATGTCCAAGTTCCCCACCAGGTCCAAGCGCATCGACGTCATATCCCGCATACTGTTCCCGATGGTGTTCGCCATGTTCAACATGTCCTACTGGTCCACGTACCTGTTCCGCGAGGGCGTGGACGAGGACAAGTAATTCAGAACCGCAGACCGTCGCCGCCGTCGTATTATTATTATATTATTTTAATTATTATCATCATTATTATTATTATTATTATTATTGTTATTGTCTCCACGGCACATGATAATATTATTATTATTATTATTATAAAAAACACGCGAGCTCGCGTTTCGTGTATTTGGATTTCCGTTTTTCAGCAGACCACGGTTTCCATTATTACGATCTGTTTTGCAGGTTCGTTTAGTTTTTTCTTTTGTTTGTTTGTTATCACTGTTGATATATCCATTGGTCTTACGAGTATTTTTTATTTTATTTTTTACACGAATCTCTCTATACGTAGTCATTGTGTAGTCTAAATCTTCTCTCAACTCGAAGTGCATTTACTCGCATCAATACAATTATTATGATTATTATTAATAGTAAACTCAACCAGATCTCCCGAAAACTATATAATAAACAAAACGTGTCCACTCCACATTATTATATTGATTACCATCTCAATCGATATTTTGTAATTTTTTTCTACATTCCATGCTCAATTTTACCTTTAAACGAAACCATTTGATTCATTTGTTACACACCTGACAGATACAAAGAGACAGGGTCCTTATACGAAATCTGTCGGGGAAATCTGTTCGCGTGTCCGACGCGCACGAATCGATTCCATCCAAATTTAATTTATCGAAAGAGCGAGAGTTTTCTTACATATAATATACCATGTTTATACCTCATAGAAATCAACATAAAACTCCATCGGCGTTTTCCTTAACCCGACGAATTGCAACTATTATTCTGTCCGTTTCGTCTATCCCGTTCGAGTTAATTAATTACTTACTTACTTCCTTATTTACAAACGCTCAATGTCGTTTTTTCTTCTGTTTTTCGTGTTCTTAGCCATGTCTACCACCATCACGTATCATCGCCACAGAAAATAATATTATTCCATGTTCGCGCGCATCCCGAATCGAAACTATATTATAATATAGAGACATTTTAAAAATAATTCACATAATTCATCAATTCTGAATTGCACGAATAATAATTTTGTTTTAATAATTGTGCTTCATAGCAATTCAATATTCGTTTTTTATTAGGTACATTAAAATTGCATTTTTTTCCAAGCACAATAATTGCGCTAATATTATATAAAAATGAATACATGACTTACGGTAGATGCGGTCTAGAAAGTCCATATAATATGACATCCGATATTAAACATCGTACACGGATGTTAATTACTCATATTTTATGTGAAATAATATATTATTTTTATTGTCACCAAGACTGTATGATATTCATATGTGCAAAGGCCACTATGACGACATACCGTATATGGTAAACAGGGTGAGATGGAAAGTTCTGACCGAAACCGCTGCCGGTTCGATGACTTTAAAACCCAATTAATATGTAATGCTTTTGTCTAATAGTCGTTAAGCTGATCATTATTGAATTTGACCATTAACTTAAAGCCATAGTTATATATATATATATCAGAATTCGAAAAACATAAGAAGACACTTAAACAATCCCGAATAAGTCAAATTTAATTTGCCTTTAATTGTATGTCCTGTTATAAAATAAATTGTGTTTTAAAACTGTTCCATTTTTTCTCGACTTTTCAAACTTTTCGTAAACTTTATGACACATTTTACTGTTCCCGTATAAATCAAATTAAATCATTTTATCATAAGATTGCAAGAAAAAGTTATCCCATTTTATTTTGTAATTCCACTAAAATGTTCAAGTCATTCGAAACGATTAACAATTAATTAATTCTTGTTTTCTCTTCTCTCTCTCTATATATATATAATATATATTATAAATACATAAAAACCAACTCGGTTGACGAAATCAAAGATAAACAAACGACGACTGACTGTCGTCTTTTTCCGTCCGCCATTCATTTATGTCCAGTTACACAATCGCATCTTTATGGTCTAATGGTCACGGTTAAGCTATTTTTGAAAATAGAAACGTACACGTTGCTTACTCACATTATATATACAAGACACGCGCGTGGATAGGACAGACGTCATATTAAACGATATACACCCAGCTGCATCTGATTCATCTCACGTTGTCTTATCACGCTTAGGGCGTATCCCATTAAGTCGGATTAAAACTTTTCAAGTCCCCTGGAATAATACGCTGTACCGTTTAGTCTGATGTACAACATTATGAACACACCCGCCCACGACCGAAGGCGAATACTCGATAGGGTTATATTAATTTAAAATTAATTTAAAATTAAGATAAATACGTATATATACATGTATATATATATATATAATGTGTGTATATATTATATTATATACGATTTTTATGATTTTTAACGATAAGATAATATTATATTATTAATTTGTGTCGTTTGACACATACATTTGACGCTATATCATAATGTATAATGTGAATATAAAAGTTGCCAGAAAAGAATGCTAAAAAATGTGATTTTTTTTTTTTAATAACAATAACTGGTCCACGGAACTATATAATATTATGCAATAGTTTTGTACATAATGTCGGGTGTAACGCTGACCAATAGTTAAAACATTATAGCGTTGAATACGATTGGTTTAAAATAAAATCTCATTTTTAGTAATTGAAATCAGTGACCACTAAATGATATATACTGTATTTGACATTGAGTATTATATCATAGTGGTGATAACTTAGATTACTGTAAACAAGAAAAGAACTAAAAGTCTGACATCTTACTCTGACTGTTTTTGTTCGTTTCGATAATATTTGAAATTATTTTCATTTCTACGATTTATGTTAATGGCTATGATGTAATATGTACATAAATTAAAATCTGAAACGAATATTTAGAAAAACTCTTAAAAATGTATAGACCATCCAGTAATCTGAGTAATGTCTCACACAACTTTTTAAATACTATTCCTACACACTAAAAATATTACAGTTTATAAAAATCCCAATAATCATAAAACCACTTTTATGATAATCGTTAGTAAGCTCCAATAATAAATAAAAGTAGTCATTACAAACAGTAAATATCGGTTACGCCGTGTTGAAAAAAAGTAATCTAACCTAACCACGATATCTCAAACGGACTGAAAATTTGCTTGGTATCGTCTTAATCGATATTGCGTTTATATTGGTAGGTATTTTATAAAATGTACTTCAAACGTCAATTTATTGTTCCAGTGCGTATCTAAAAAACGTTTCCACACCCCAACTATTCATGTTCATCATAATAATAATATATTATAGAATTATCTGTTCGATAGGTACTAACGTTGCCAATTTCAGATGCAGATGTAGGTAAACATACCAAAAAAAAAAAACATTTTCTATTATGTTTTAAATTTTGAAACCTCATTACTACATCATTATAATATAAATTCTCGAGCTCCATTCATTATGTACCCAGTCAAAGGCGCCATTAGTCGTAATTGAAATTTGAAAAAATAAAATAAATATAAAATCTTCGTGATGGAAAATTCCGCTTGATGTGTGAGCACCATACACGGAAAATATTTTTGCACAATGTAAATTAATTTAAAGATAAGTTTTTAAGTGAGGTGTCAGTGATTCTTAACAGTAATAAAAAAAAAACTGTCATTTGATCCTACTGCCGAGATACATAATGGTTTTAAAAACCACGTATTAGAGTAATCGTGTGGTTAATCGGTTGCTAATTAAATGAGAGAATTATAAACAATTAGTGTACTTAGTAAGTTTGTTTCAAATACTTGTGTTTTTTTTTTTTTAATCGATTGGATTTATTCTTTGTTATAAATGTAAGCATTGAGTTAGGTACGTTATTGTGGTTAAGATTTCTGAAAGAAATCGATGAAATCTGGCTAGAGTGTAAAAATCAAAATCATTTTATTATAAAAACGCATTTTTACGGTTTAGTAATGGTGCTTTCTATAACTGAGTCAAAGCGTAAAATGTTTTTTTTAACATTGTTAAGTACTTATGAAAAAATAAAAAAATAGGAAAGTAAATTTGATTGTAATAAAATATATAATAATATTAAATTTATTGTGTTATACAATAACAACTAACGATCATCACATTATTGTTGTCCAAAATATGAAAAGATATAAATCGAAATCAATACCAATAATGTGTTGTTACTAGACGTACGAGTGATAACGAGTTTTAATATAATATATATATATTAAATATATTTAATTTATATGTGTTAGTGTATAAGGTTGTATAAGATTTTATTGAATTACAATTTTTAATATTATAGATGTTGAAAAAAATTCTCTTGAAAAATAAAATATGTGTAAAAAAAAATTGAGAATTTATAATACTGTCTTATAAAATTATTTCGAATACCTATGTTTTCATAATATACACGTATTGCCATGTCGTATGGTTCTATAAAATACGTTTGTCCATACAATTTAATGCAATATACATCTTTTGGGTGATCTGCATTTTACATAATAGTAATGGTATAATAAGTAATAATAGTGCATTGTGTAGGTAGGTAGGTATTATTTTACATAATTTGCATTATTGTTAACGCGTTAGTGGTTGTTAACGCATTATTCCAAACAATCCTGTATATTATTATTATAATGCTAAAGTGTAGGTTATCATTTATAACCTTTATTACTTTTACTGGTTAGGAAAGTTTAAAACGTTTGTGAAATTGCTGCTATATAACATAATATCAAACACGCATACTCACTGTTTCATTGAATCCCCAGCATTTGAACGTGGATAAGATATAATATTATCCTGTTTCATTGCGACTGCTTTAGGATATATGGATTACAGTATAAAACAGGAAACTAAAAATTAAAATATAGGAATGTGTGAAACATTCCTGCGTGCATGAATGCATGATACGAAATGGAAGCAACCTTTTTTATGCATTTATTTAAAAGTGAAATAAATAATAAAATATGGTTATAGTTAAACAATTGCAAAAGAAAAAAAAAATAACAACAATCTAAACTATTAATTATTAATTAAAACAAATTTAATCTTAATCAAATGTAGCAGGTTCTAGGTGTGATCATAGACTAATATGTTCACTGGCAATCACTTACAATTTAAAATCGAATTGACCATAATAATATATAACACTACATACCTGCTACATAAACATACAACCACATCAAAATATATCAGACATTTTTCAACTATAGTTTATACTCTATAGAGCCCAAATGATTTTATAATGATTTTAAAACCTACAGTTCAAATATTACTTGGGTATAATTTATTAGATTGTTTAATATTATGCGTTGTTCATCGAGATGATGTTCACTGAGTATGATGCACACAGCCAGCCTAATTTCTCGTCCTTCACATTAATAATGTGACATTATACTACTAATTTTTTTCATATTATCTCATATTTTTTGATTGTCCTGTAGGTATACTTATCAGAATTTTAAATCTAATATTACAATACATATATCTGTATAGTTACCTTTTTATAAAAAATATTAAAATAATTATCACACGTGTATGGTAGACATAAATGTATCATTATTACTGCATTTTAATGTAGTAATGACGTCTTTCTTCAATTTTTTTAATGCTAATTATAACAATAATAATTATGCGTACATGCGTTTAGTATCGTATTTAAGGAAAACAACTGTGGGTACTTTAAAATGATCTAAAATTGCAATTTAGTTAGTGGTGGTAATTGTATCGAAAATTGTGTACTATACGTCTATACAGTATATATGTAAATATTGTACATGAATATTAGACACTAATTTACAAATAATTAAGTATAATTACACCTTAAAGGAAATCATGCAGGTTGGTAGGTGGTACGTTTTTTTAATTAGATTATTTCTGATTTCCAAGGTTACATTTTTTATGATCCTCATTTTAATAGGTACCTAGACATATAAAACCAAAAAATCTTAGTGAAAATTTCAGTTTGTTTTTCACAGTTTACACAGTAACGCTCATTTTATTATTGTATCACCTGATAGCTGCGGAAATACAATATGAAAAAAATCATAATATTTTCTGTAAGTATAATTTATTCCTATGTACCTAAATATTAACAAGATTTAAAGTATCGAGAAAAACATAAAATTAAAAATTAATTTCATACATAACACAGACAAGGAGTAAAGAAATCCAAACATTTTTTCAAAATGATAATTGGACTTTTGGAAGTGTATTTTTTTTTCTTTTGCTTATTGGTCTTAATGCACGAAAAAACGACCCACTTTCAATCGCCTTAAAGGCAGTATAATACATGGATACTAAACAGTGACTGTGGGGAAATTTACATTTATTTGAGTGTTACTACTTACTAATAAAATATGTGTACACAAACCAACGCTATAAAATTAAAACCAATACTTATGAAGTATAGTAATAAAAAAATACTTTTGTTCATATCAAAAATATTAAATTAATGATAGCTGTTAAAATACTTTTATCTGAAACCTGTAAATATTTGTATTTAAAAAAAAACTGTTAATAGTTTCATGATTTATATGATATGCAATTTGAGATTTGAATATAAAAAGGCACATATAACATATACTACATATACATACATATACCTTATGGCTAGTTGCAATGGTTAAATCGAAAACAATAGAATAAAGAATATTTCAAAAATGTGATACTATAAAGTTGGGTGGACACTGGACAACTAGAGTGAGCTTTGTTTTATAGCAATTATAAATCATTTATTGCAATTATTTAACGATTTTATAACACAATTCCTAAAGATATGATTTATGTTGTGTGACGTGGTATCTAATAATATAATTGTATGCGTGCTTCACTGTGCTTGTAGTCAAGATTTTATTCGAAATTCAACCCCATGTGCTTCTACATTTCTCCGCCATTATTTTGTTTCTACTTAAAATATTTATTGATGTTTCGGAAATTTTAAAATGACATGTTTATACGTGTTATAATAGAAATGTAAGACAAAATATTGACAGTAGGTAACTTTTTTCAGTTTCCAACGTATAGACATGCCGGGGCGCCGGGCAAAATGTTTTGAAATACTCGCCCTATACTAATTTGAACAAATTTAATAATATGATATTTATGGTTAGATGAGTGAAATTTTCAGTTTTTCAGTTTGAAAATGATCGCTGTTCCGACGAAATTCTTTGAATATCAAATAATTATAAGTAAAAAACTGCGACTGTATTTTCAATATTTTTAATTGGAGTAATAAAAACTTACAATAAGCCTGCTTTTATTGTTACCAAAGTGATCCTCGACTGTGTCTATTTTTAACCAAAGGGGGAGAGGGGGTTGACCTGATCAAAATGTATAAACATCGTCATATAGTAAAATTAAAAATTAAAAAATTATATTTAATGAATCATAAAATAACAATTATCATAATATAATACGTATATTATTAATTGGTACTATATATGTGTGTACTGAATAATAAGTTGTAAACGCCTGCCTGCAGGACCGTCCACCATTGGCAAACTTGTCTAAAATCATATTATTTCGTCCGTTATAAAAATATTTCTAGGAAATTCTAGCTAACAAGTCAAAACCAACGAGACAATTCTCCGAAGTTGAGTTTTTCAAATATAATTTTTAACATTCGCATTATTGAAAAACTGCGTTCAGCGATTCGAATAATAAATTTGCTAATTATTATTTAAAAATTTAAAATAATATCGCTCATGGACAAAACTTTACCACGGGGCAACGAATACCCGGAATCGTTGATACTAATTAAAAATCTGTCGATAACGATCGTTGACTGCCGAGAGGCAGACGCTTTACTGAAAATAATTTTATCAATAAATATTATTTCATGAAAACTGTACAGTCCACCACAATAATAACATTTGTGTTTGTTTACCGTTTATACCAAACTGAGTTCACTTTCAAGAAAGTGTATTTAATTCATTTTATTTATTATTCTTCATATTTTATAATATTTTATATATATTCATTATTTATTATTACAACATGAATAAAAATAATAATAAATTAAAAATACTTTCTTGAAATTTAACTCGGTTCGGTATGAACTTACAACAAGCTCAAAGGTTATTTTTGTTGTAGACTGTACAATGTACATGAAATAATATTTATTAATAAAATTATTTTCAGAAGAGCGTCTGCCTCTAGGCGATCGTTATCGACAGGTTTATTAGTATCTATAATTCCAAGTATTCGCTCTACCGTGGTAAAGTTTTTCCATTAGGGATATTATTTTAAATTTTTAGTTAATAACGGACTGATTTTTCATTCAAATTGCGACAATTTCAGCAATGCGAAGGTTAAAAATTAAAAACCATATTTGAAAAACTTAACTTCGGAGAATCGTCCGTTAGTTTGGCATTAATATTTATTAATAGAAATATTGTTGATCGTTATCGACAGGTTTATAATTAGTACCTATAATTCCCGGTATTCGTTCTTTCGTGATAAAGTTTTGTCCATAAGCGATAAGATGAGCTTACAAAATAATGGTATGAAATTAAAATTAATAAAATGCAATTTAATGAAACTATTGCAGCGAATTCATGGAAAGGGGAAATAGTTTTTAGATTTTCTTGAAATTTCGGGGGGGGGGGGGAGAATGCAGAGAATTTGCACGTACTTTTGAAAAGATAATCATAAATAAATTAATACATCATAATTTATTTTGGCGAAAAATGAAAACTCCTGTTCAAATTAATTCCAATTTGTCACCAGAAGCCTTTCACGAGGTGCAAGGTTGGAGAATTTTTTCTATAATACTGTGCAGGAATGTTCCATTTTAAAAAACCCCACGAACATAGATACCTGCATTGTAAAACCCTTGCATCTATCGCTCGAATCCAATTGGCGAGTATTCTGTGCCTGGGACGGTTTTGAACCAGCTCACGAATCTCTGTGGTCCGGTACCTGTTGCTTGGATTCCACAAGTGTTCATAGTTATCATATTATATTATATTATTTATATAATGACTTTATTATTTCATACCATTTCCAGATAATTGTTTCTGTACTTTTGGTCTTGCATCGAGTGTCTTGCGCTCGTGACGACATAAGTGGCTACCGTGATAGATACCGGCCGTATCCAAGACCGTCGCGACCGTCGCCCGGTGACAGGCAATTTGGAGAAAACGGGTGGATGTACCATCGCGGCGAGGGTTACTGGTATCACCCAGAGTCCATGTGGAGGTGGCGTTCAAATAATGGTTGGAGGCAATACCATCGGCGCAACAACAACAATTACTACAACAACAATAACTACAACGATAATTACTATTACCGTTGAATAAATGCTGAGGGCCACTCTCTAGCTGGTGACCATGTATACCAAGATATCTACACAAAAAATAATACTCCCCGTATATAATAGATATCATTTTTATTTTAAATGCTTAGTTACGTCTTTATCGTTTTTGAAACGCCATAAAACCACTCTGAAATGTATTTAACCATAAATCACCATTGTCCGGTAAACCACTTGTGAGTTGTGACAAACAATAAATGTACCAAAAGTAAACTTATTTACAGTGATTTTAATACTAAATTTGCTACATTAATTTATAGTATTATGTGAACCTTGCAGCAGCTTGAAATTTAAAAAAAATGTATTTTGCACAATTATAAAAAAATAATTCAAAAAGATCCTGTCATAATGGTAAATAAACCACCGGTAATATTTTATTACAATAAAATAATTAATCGTATACTTCCAAATTATTACCTACTTATCTTAAATTCCTAAATCCTAGATTGTATTCTATATTTCTACATTATTATGATGGTATATAATTATGTATAATGATTATCTAACTACCAGTTTCTCTAGACGAGCCACAAATCTACTCCTGAAAAAAACTGACGACGCAACTTATCATGCATTATGAAAATAATGAAGTAGTATGCAACAGGTTTTAAACTATTCAAAAGAACATTTCATTTCAAAAATATTCTTTATTTTACTTTACATTGGCACGCTTTTTATTACACAGTAAAAAATAAAAATAATTGTAGACAAGGTATATCCACGCGATATTCTATAGGGACACGAAAACTTTACAAAACACCAGTTGTTAATACTTAAAAGTCAAGTGGATTGGATTGTATTTTAAATTACGATTATTTTATTATAAAAATTCTAAGAATACAAAATTTTAAAATTCAGAGCCGTCCGTCAATAACTTACTTAATACTAGTTTTAACCAGCTGCTAACGCGCGCTAGTCCAGATTAAAATGAAAAAATTGTGTGAAGTGGACCAGAAATTGTTTGAAATAAATTTCACAGACAAAATTGTATTATTTTACTTGATGTGTAAAATAATAATATGCAATTATTGGTAAGCTATCGTCTACATTGTTTATTCTGGTTCAGTGGCTATATGATTTAAGTATCGAGTATCAGTTTATTTTTAAACGTCTTCTAATAATAAAACCATTTCATGTAATTTAAGTAATTTAACACACTACGCACTAATAAAAATTTAAAAATTATTACTTATAAGTTATTAGTTATTTTGTTTACAGTTGATACAGAAATACAAATGTCTATTATATTTATAAAAATAGTACAAGTTATCAATTAATTTAGTCTTAAGATTATTATCTCAGTTATCTTTCCCGACAACCGCTAGTGCGACGTTTTATAATTCATCCCAAATTAGAGGTTTAATATTTTTCAAAAAACATTTATTTATCTGTATCGGATCCATATTTAATTTGTATAATATCATAGTCTATCCAACTTTCAAAAACATGATCATAGGCAAAACTAAAATTAATTCTAACCTAACCTAAACATAATTATTAATTACCAACTCCCTATAATGATTGTCAATACTTTCAAAAATCACAACAATTTTATTTTATATTTATATATTGTTATTGAATTATAGATGACTGATGTGAAATTATAAGGAAATTTATATTATATACAGAACATATTAATTAACTTATATTAAAATCATTATTCATCGAGGTTCAAACTACATGCTGCGAAAAATCAATCATTGAATATCCAACGTTTGAATTATTTTATCATAAATCAGTCCACCGTAGAATTTTAATTGAATCTCACTCTGTGTTTTGAAATAATTTTCATAGTTTGTAAAGTACGTATGTACTATAGAATTATTTACTTATATATTTTTCAGTTCGCTTCAGTTGTCAATATGATATTATAAATTTTGTACTTAAACCAAACGCGTGGTTTATGAATATGTTATACATATACATATAAGTATTATTATATTAATATAATTTTTATTTAGTGTTTACAAAAAAAAAATATATTTCATGACTATTTTTTACCATCTCACATTGTTCGAAAGAAACAATGTATTCCCGTGTTTTTTTCTTCTTTCCCAGGCCTTTTATGAATAGGAACCTTTTATAATTCTTAGTGGCGGCGCATAGTCACGGCTCCGTGTTGGTATAACCCCATTTTTTTATAAATGTTAATTTACAATAGGTAATGAATATTAATACTGCATATTGCATTAAAATGTACAGGAGGCTTAAAATTAAGTATAAATAAATACGTACGCTGACAACATTAATAATTTACTTATCGATTAACCTAATAAACAATAATTTTGTATACCTGCTACAACTAAATTACTATTTGTAATTCATTTTATAAAAAATATTTTGCTTATTTATATCTATAAGCATGACAATTTTTTTAATTTTTAAATTTTTATAAGTTATTGTTCCTACGATAATTTTTAAAACACAGATAATATATAGAATCATACATTATTCTATACATCTGTGTTTTAAAATAATATTGTAGCTGTGATCATCGGCTACATTAACAATAATAATAATAATCATGATACGCGCGTATGCCGTATACATGTATAATATTCTAAATAGATAGATACTTAACAATGAATAATACAATCCAAGTCCAAATTAAACACTACTGCTGTTACATTTTCCAATATCCTTATTATTCAACATTTCAACTATGCACATTGCACAACAGTATACGACACATCTGAGGTTAGGTATTAAAAAAACGAAAGAGATTACAACGGAGGTATAATTTAGGTAAGTACAAATTCTATTTTATTAATATCTCTGAAAATACATAATCGCATATTTTATTTATTAGAGTTATATTTTGAAACACTGCTTTGTGCACACGTCCGGTTTTTTATCCCCTCGGTCGTTGAATGCACACACACGTGCATTTTTGATGTGTGGCAGTCGCCGTGAATCGTCATTTCATTCAGTCACCGGCAGTGGAAGTTTTTCGAAAAAGGCGAATATTTCGCTTACTTCAGTGCCATAGACCAGGGTGAGGGGGCTTTAGGGACCCTTCCCTACTGAACCATACCAGGCTACGGTACCGGCGTAATTGGTGATGTATTGACAAACTTGTATTTAAATACAATAATTTATAAATAGGTGGTACTGCAGGGTACATCCGTGTATACTGCGATTAGGGTCAATCTTGTACTCCTTTTGCTGCAGACTTATGGGAAATTCGACAAAAAACGAATGTGTGCATGCCGGGACTGAATTCAAATAGTCAACATTCGACACTTGAGGTTCTGAAGTTTGTACGCGATATTTCAGCGGTTGTGGTATCCGGAGCTAAGCATTTTATTACTTGGGGATGATTGTGCAGATTGAGTGGCCGGTGGACGGGTGAGCTAATATGAGTGAAATATAAATGTATGATATAACGTTCGCACACGCATTAAATGCAAACGAATGCGGTTGATTAACCGAGGCAGGGTTGCCCAAATGTTTTTTGAGCATTACATTTTTTATCAACCATCGCCTATAGGTATATATATATAATATATATGTATGACGTATAACGTTAACCGGAAATGCAGCGTGTCGTATTATATATTATTATTATTATTATTATTATTATTGTATACGAATCTGTGCAGTGGTCTGGGAGAAAGGCACCGGGCCGTAAACGTTTAGGGGGGGGGGGGGGGTTGTTGTTTTTATTAATTCTCGGGAAATCTACCAACGATGATGGATAGTGTAATTATTCTCAATGCACACCTATGCCGAGATAGGATTTCCACATCATCTGCAACAGACCGGTACCGCACTTACACTACATTAGATTTACGTACACATGATATATCGGTATTCGGTATTATATGTACGAATAGGTGTTTTTTAGAACTCCACCCACGCTTTCAGTGGTGTATGGATTAGGTCGAAATATTGTTGATGTCACGGCGGACGATTTTTTTGTGCTAGGTCGCGGATACTTAATTACTTACACCTTTTTCTGCGTCGTTCACCGACAGGCACATATTAAGAGGGATCATGGGACTTTGGACAATGTTGAGAGGGAGGCGATCACCCTAGGTTGTACTTTTTTTTTATGGATGCAAATGATATATTTGCGCTCGTTTATAATTGTTATTATTTATTATTATTTCATTAATGTAATAATTAATCAACGATCAACCACATTATTATGATCAGATCTTATATTTTATAATCATTGCGAATTTATGTATCCTAATCGTATTAGGCATTTGCACGTGTATAATACGCTGTTATTTATATTAGTTAAATAAGTACGCTAATCCATTTATTTTATAAAAATTTTATTAGTTGTGTTGCTCTCGAATAATCGCATATTTATTATTACTGTAAAGTGTGCACGAACAGCCACTGCATTTATTATTATTATTAATCAAATTTTCCAAACTTTTGAGCGAATCGCCATTACTTTTTTTAAATGTTGTGTGAGCTTACCGCAATGTGATTGTTATTCTATTTTTATTATTCAGCTATAGGAGTATAGGATAGGAATATAGGACCTGTCTAGCCAGTCTGAACGCCGTACGATTAACTATTATATCATGAGTACTAACATGTTTATTTTTATTTATTTGGTAAGTTATATATTTCATTATTTAATTTGTTGTTGGGCCCAAAAAGGGCCGTAAATCGTAATTGTATTGTTTGTAAAATATTGCTTTTACGTGTACCCACCATGGTTATGCGCATAAATGTCCGCCGCAGCGCGCCGCTCATAATGCTGTTGTTAAACACAGTTCTTGTCCAGTATAGTAAAAGATCTATGATTATTATACGTTTCCGGTCCGAGCTCCAATTGCAGGAAAATTTTCGGAAAAGTGTAGATTTTAATATCCGTTTTTGCTCACATAATATGCCGCATGTGGTTTTAATTGACCAGCTGTTGCCGGTTACTCAAGCACGCAAATGTAACGTTTACGGTGCAGAGCTGACCGCAGGAAATGGGACACGAGGCAGTGGCTGACCGGAGCACGGGAAGTATGGTCACATTGACGGCCGATCATCGAGTCTCAGCGGTAACCGGAAGTCCGGAAAGCCACTGTCCTCGTCGTCTGCACTGGTCGCGGTCGTCCCCGGTCGCAAACTATAGTCCTCTATAAGGGCTAGCACAGTTAGATTACTGTTGGTGCAGACGTTGGGAGACAATTTACCAAGCAAGACATTTACAAATCAATATTATATTGTAATGTATTATATTACCTTCGAGCGCGGGTTGACTGCAAATAACAACATCAGTCGTCACTATAACCGTATGACAGTTATCGTGCTCATTATTAGACAACAAATTCTTGGTTGGCAAATAATTATTTTGATGTGGGTCATTTTGAGGACCAGAGTAGGTAGTACAAAACGTGAAGATTGCAAGTCAGAAAATTTTCCAGAAAAATAATGATCTTAATAATAATACGCTGATTCCAGTATTTCAGCCTATTTTTTAAACTAATTATTCTCGTTCTGTGTGAAACATAATAAATAATAATATATGTATATATATATATATATATATTGTAATTTTTATAATACTATTTCAATGTACCTACTCAATAGTAAAAATAAGAACGCTTCAGCGACGACGGACTGCATTGATGATTATCTAGAAAGTACTAATATGTTTGCCCGATGCGAATAATAAGTATACATACAAATATTAAAAAAAAAAACCGTTCTATTGCACGTCAATTTACATACGTACAAAAGACGATGTTGCGAAGAATTTTTCGTTTGCACTGTACAATGCGAACAATATTGTAACGACACGTCATAATTCTCAACCAGCGTGTGCAGTCACGAACGGACCATTTTTTTCAGCAACCCTTTGTTCTTAGACGTTTCTCCCGCGGGATCGCGACATTTTATGCCCACAATTTTTTTTAATCATTATTTTTTTCCTCCGTCTTCTATTCCCTCGTCGTTCAATTAATATTATATTTTTATTACACACCGCGCCGAAAAACCGCTTTCGGCTTTTTTTTGTTTTCGAGTAGGTACATAATATAATATTATTATATTCCCCGCTGCCGTTTCTTTTCCCGAAACGGTCTTTTTTTTCATTTAAATTTTTTTTTCTGCCCGTTCAAGTCCGGTTTCTTGACGACGACTATAACCCTCTCCCCCCCCCCCACTCAACCACTCGTCGCCCATCCGCTCGTCCGACAACGATCGAATATATATATAATATATAATATATTATATAATAGCCGTCCCCCTGCCATTCGCACGGCAGCGTTCTTATACGATGCCGACGCACTTCGTTTCACCCGTCCCGGTGCGGTTGCAATGGTAGAGGAGGGGAAAATATTTATAAAAAAAACCCACCTACCATTGTCTATAACAGTATTTCCCATCCTATATGGGAGGGGGGCGTTCAAAATGTCCAGGGGGAGAGTTAGATTTGACACGCATTTGAAAAAAATGATTTCTGCAGTGTAAAGTGACCAAATATTTTTATCATAATTATGATTATTATTGTTATTATAGAAATATACCATAAAGTTGATGTAACTGTTGCTGATAAACGCAGTTTAGACGTTTTTCCACATCGTATAAACATGGCTCAAATCGTGATTACTTTATTACTATATACTATATAGGTACTTTTACTATTATGCCAGTGGCGTATAGCCAGGGGGGAGGCTGAGGGGGCTGCAGCCCCACCGAAATGTTAATAAAATTTAAAATTTAAAAATTATTTAATGGTCTATGGTATTCGATCAAAAACTAAACCGCCACTGTGTAAAAAATTGATCAGCCCCTCCCCACCCCCACCCCGAAAAAATCCTGGCTACGCCACTGTATTATGCAGATATTATCCTAGATGATGCACCCAGTGCACCCAGTGCATCTAAATTCTAAACCCGTAACTATACAGTTTAAATTATATACTTATTATATAATATTATACATTTAGTTTGAACGGGCCCTCTTGTATTGCTCCATAAGAACAATTTTTTTATGCTAAAAAATTGTATAATTAAATCTAACCTGTTGTGTGTATACCATACAATTTATTGAATTCAAACCTATTGGCTATTTATATATATATAAGGAACGCTATCGATCATATCGGTGACTTAAAGCCCTCCCTTATTTACGAAGACCTGCGTATTCACACATGCATAATATGGATGAAAATCACTGATTTATGTTCATTACGAAACCTATATAATTCGGTATAATACCCTATGTAGGTAAACACAATATATAAATAAATATATCGTAACGACATTACACCGTAAAGACATCAGGCAATAGGACATTGGTGCACATTATATTATTATTATTATTATTATTATTGCGAACGAGGAAGACTCCACGGCGGCCGCCGGTACAACTGCAGCTGCCGGCCGAGCGGGTGAAGAGATGGCGTTTTCCGCCGTTGGCCAAGCCGACAGATGGCGTCGCGGGCGTCCGGCGGTGACGTCGGCGGCGGCGTACCGCTGCGCGTTTTAAGTTTTCCCTCGAGCATCCCGGAGTCGCCATGCGGCAATCGTCACGGATCCGCTAACCGTCGGACGCTTACGCCACCGACCGACCGACCACCGACAGACGATCAATCGACACTATATTATATTTTATTAAACGCTAAAAATATACACACCGTTTGTTACATTATATCTTACAGCTCTACACACTCCTATCGAATTATTAAAAGAATCGAGTTATATTATTCATTATTACGTCGTATGAGATTGTGTTAAATTTAATGTCTTTTGTGAAGATTTTTTTTTGATTTTGTTTTTTTTTTTTTCTTAGTAATTGTTTTTCCTTCCTCTCTTATAATTTTTGTGTTTTTCTCCTGTTATCGACACAATGATGTCGTCGTGAATCGCGTACTCGCGGACTGCACGGAACGCTGTTTATTTACCGGCCGTTGGAGTTTTTATGGAAGTCAACGAAAGCGCCGAAGTTCGGTCTACCGGCACACCGCCGACCAACGGTGGTAACGGCGGGGGCAACTGTTGCGGCACGTCCCCTGCGGTCGGCGCTCCGGCGGAACATTCTTCCGGCACGAAGATCCTGAGCAAGAATTCAAACGGCACAAGTGAGTGATCTTTTCATTACTATTATTATTATTTTAACATTTGCTGTCTTATTTAATTAACGCTATTATTTCAATGTTTTTCACACAACTATGCTGTGTACAAACATATTGCTGCTATTAGGTCACCTTTTTAATTACTGCAGATTGGCAGTATGGATATTGGATACAATTTTATACGGTCTTAGACCGGTTAAAGTAAAACCAGTCTTACTCTGTGTACATTACAATAAATATATGAAATATGATATGAATAATAAATATAAAATAATATTAATAAATATTATACATGTTTAAGAACATTTTCGATTGTTCTAAAAGATTTGTTCGATTTAACCAATTTTTTCTTATGGAATACAGTCTTTAATTACTCAAAACATATACACATAGTCATTAATTTATTTTAATTCTCCTTGTATCCGAGCTATACCAAGACTCGTCTGTATACTGCAGTTTTGTACATACATTTAATTGACGATATTAAAAATAGTTAATTAAGTTAATTTTTTAAGTATGGTTCTAAAACTTGTCTGGAATTATAGCCTCTGCACTAGTTTTGTATGATCATTGACTATTAAAAACCATGTCTCTTTGGTACGTTGAAGAGACATATTTTTTTGATTTCCTTATTGGTAATCCTCCGAAGCACTTGAAGATCAAATCTCAATAACTGTGTCTTATCCTAACTCCATTAGGATACGTTTACCTATAGGCTATAATGTTTTATTTTACTGCATTCGAATGTCAAAGAGACAAGAATTCTTAAGACCACTATCACTGCAGTGTCCTGTCCAAAGTACCACTACAATTAGATACTGCTTCTAATTAAAATAATCAAATGTTTTACACGTACAACAAGTTGGTCATAATTAAACAACGTTTTATTATTCTTTCAATAGATCAATAAATTATGTAAAACAATTTAATTAGATTATAATTTTGGATTATGTATTCAATGTATTATACAACGGAATGTTAGTATGAAGATTTTTTTAATGATCTCTGCATATAATATATTATTCACGAGTTTCAATTTTTTTTTTATGCTTTGTCTTTTAGGCTATTATTTTAACGTATTTTTGATATTTTGTAGTTTACACTATTCTAAAGGTATTTCAAAAGTGAACAGTTAATCTGACTATTAAATTCAAATTAATTTAAAAGTATTTTTTCATCTACATATTGTTACATAATTGATAGTTCAATTTTTTTTCGCTCTGGGAGTCTGAGCTTAAGTCTAATTGAGATTAAACTATTTTTATCGAGCTACATAAGCGACATCGGTATACAATTTTTGCACCCTAATATTATTAATAGCCTTATATGTTGTAAACTTGTAAATATAAGTTGCATTCAGAACTAAAGAAAATTACACATCAATTTGATGGTACGTACGTGCGTAAAGGAAAAATAAATATTATCTAAGTGGTTTTTGAAAAGAAACGGTTTTAATTTTAACAGTTTAACATATTGTTATCTGATCAACACGTAGGCGTCTAATTTTGTTTTTATCATCTCATAATAATATGTGTAATATAATTATGATTATAGCAACGAAACGAATCGATTTTTCCTTCTGTAACATATTTTCAGTTCTTATCCCTATACTGCTTTCATTCATTCTGTTATGCATCACGTATACCGGTAAAATATCGACTTATTTATTTCTATTTTTTTCTCTGGTGATTTTTCCTAGTATTTTTTTTCCACTGATATGATAATTTCACGTATGTAACACAATGATAATATGAAAGACAAAAAACGTATTTCAACCAATAAATAGGACGTTGAAAAATTTTTTATTTGCTTTTTTTTAACCAACCGCTTTATCTGATGATATGCCTTGGAGCGTAGAGGTTGAATTCAGTTTTTTTTTATACGTTCATTTTTTTTTATCATTCCTTCTTGCTGTTCGCTTTTCTTCGGCGTATTTTATGCATCCGACACAAGAAAAAATCAAATGCGTAATTTAAAGTTAATTCCAACAGCGAAAAAAATTTCTTTTCAAACGTTTCAAGTATATAAACATTTCTTTATTTCATGAAAGTAACACGCCATCCAACGAGAACTTGGTGGTTTTTTTTCTGATATAATTTTATTGCACTCATTTAAATTTTAAAAGCATTACTCCATCATATTACATTTTGAGGACAAATCTTTCAAGGATTTCACTTTGATTTTATCATTTTTTTTTTTTTTTGTATAATTAAGTTACTAAATTATATAGTTTTTGTATAAATGTAAACGGTAAAAATACTTCAGAAACATTTTCATGTAATGTATCTTGTTTAAAAGTTCAATTACATTAGTAAAAATATCAAACAATAATTGTTTTAATCCATTTTTTTAATTTAGTAAAAAAGGGTTTAATTTATTTTGTAGTTTGAATAATCGATTTATATTTAATTTATTTATACGACATAAGTATATTATATTATAATATAGATGATTAAATATTAATGTAACCAACGAATAGGTATAATACTATAATGTGTGAAACAATTAAATGTCTCATAAATATTTTAAAATAATTTGTACAAAATATTATTATACTCAGCTCAGTTTTAGTTAATGTTATTTAATCACCTGTACATAAATATATATATTTAAATTACCATCATTATTTTAAATAGAACAATAATGCAACATAATTGTTATAAATTGTATAAATATAAATATTTTAATTTAATCAAAATATTAAACGTTTTATTTAAGTATATTAGTAGTTACATATTGGATTTAATGAGTATTTACAAAATACTGTAAATGATGAAAATAAATAGGTATTTTATTAAATGTAAAAACCGATATAATTTTTATAATGGTATATTTTTTAAAAACTTCTGCTATAATTGTTATTTTTTAAATGTAAACATGTAGGTACCTCTTACAGATTTTACGACATAATATAAGTACTAAAATCCATAAATGATACATTGATCAAATACTTCATACAACACATCGGTGCATATACTGCATTGATTTGTTTTATTATTCTTAAGAGTTTAATTTGACGAAATACCAAATATAGTAAGGCTATATATTACCCATAAATCATAATTACATAAATTACATTATACGAAACTCTTAAGAACATAAAAATACAATTATATTCATTAAATCAAACAGAAAATCGCTTCAGGGCTAATGCATCACAACGTAAGCCATAGCTTATTACCGCTGACCCACTTTTATTCATTATGCATTAATGCAGTTATTCATCAACAGTATACACTTTTCAACAAAAAGAAATTAAAAACTCTAAGAATATGCCTACAGCACAATAACTATATAGTATAGGCACAAATAGTTTTAAAATAATAATATGGGTACCTACATCACAAAAGTGTCCTGTTGATTTGTTCTGTAAGACTTGAAATCACGTTTAACAGTAAACAAGAAGAAATTTACAGAAAGCCACTCCAAGATTTGTTGTTCTTGTATTTTGTAGGTACGTCATATAATAATTATAAAGGTTTATTCAAAATTCCGTTCCTTAAAGCCTACCTGTACAAACTACGTAGACATATCAGAGTAGAGTGCATTTATATAATTTTTAATTGATTTAAACATTATGTATAAGGCCAAGAAAGATTGATTTTATTTAAGTATAATCATTTTATACAGAATATTTCAAAAACATCCTCCAGTATGAGTTTTGATCGTATTTGCAGGAATTATATTATTGCTTATATAGGTAAAGTTGTTTAATATGTATAAAACTATTTTACAAAAAATTACAAGAGTTTATATTATAGTGAAACCAAATTTAATTCTTCTATCAGAATTTACCAAAAAATGTCCGCCGTAATTATACACGTGTATTCGTACTAATCAGTAGTCTTAGTTCGTCCATTTTTGTTTTTATTAAACCGTTGCGAAAACGTTACAAAAACCGTTGATCCCATCCAACCATATTTCAGTCACCCCTGCCGCTTCACCATTGGGCCGGGACAGTCATCCGGAGGGTAGAACGAAACCTTAAAAAAAATAATAACAAAAAATAGCATCCACCCCTAAACAATACCGGAGGGTAGCGAAATGGCGGACGTACCCTCACACCCTTAATTATCCTTATATGGATGATGAAAAAAACAACCCCACTGGGGATGAACCATCCCGTATATCTAACTGTGTATAGAGTCAATTTTTTTGGTGGGTGGCCAAAAAAAAAAGTTTAAGTAATTTTTTATGCAAAAGGGGTCCGTTTTTTGCACCAACTTAGAGATGACCTTAGAAAAGGGTTGTAGATGACAAAAAAAATTTACAAAGACAATGCCGTCGTTATAGAATCTCACGCAGGGTAAATTTTTTTCTAGTTTTCCACTACATTATATTATAATAGCGTGGACGAGCATTTGCATGCATCAGACGGATTATATGCATGTAAAACACCTGTGACCCCTTCCTCTCATTCTCACGCATACCTACCGACCCCAGTACTTATACACTGGCAGCTGAGTATTGTTTTAGGTAAAAAAAATATAGAAGTATAAAAATTAGACGACTTTTTTTTCTTTCACACGATATTTGCATGTACGTGAACAAAATGCGAGGTAGTTTTTTTCTTGGACAACATTTTTTTCATACGAACATTGTTTCATGAGTGGGATCCTTACACAGATATTATTCCCACAGAAAGGGATTGAATTGGTTTTAGTTTATGCAGTGGAACAGATAAATAGTGAATGTTTGAAAGAAAAAAATGTCTTATAATTTTCGATATAGTATGAGTAGTCCGAGTATAAATATTGACTAAACAATATTTGGTACTTATAAACCCTTTCTGACATATAAATATATATGTATAAAATATAAATTTGTAATACCTTTATATTATACTGTTTAAATATAATGCGCTATCAAAATATGTAGTTGTTACTCTTAAATGGAAAGTTTTTGAAAATATATATTTTATACTTGAATATTATAATGAGAATGTTTATATAATTCAGGACAGGTGTTTTTTTTTATGTCAATCATTTACCTATTTCTTTAGACGT